ACAGTCCAGCCGCTCGGCGGCGAGCGCACTCAGCACGAGTGAGTCTGGTGGAATCCATGTGCATGGGTTCTGGTACTGGGGGACTGCTGGTGGCTGCTGCAGGCTGGTGGACGGCTTCGTCAGGCTGGCAGGCTGACAACCTTTGGGAGATGCGTGTGGCTTTTTGCATGAAGCTCTCTAACCCCATAGTATTGTCATAGATGGCCATTAGAGCGCGGATGCGAGAATTCAAACCCTGCCGGTAGGCACTGAGGAGAGCGGTTTCGTTCCAGCCACTAGTCGGCGCTAGCGTCCAAAATTGCAGAGTGTATTTGCTGGTGGTAGAAGAGCCTTGATGCAGCCGCAGAAGTTGGTCAGGGAAAGATAGCATTCCTGTAGCAGAGCCAAACACTTCCTTGAAATGATTAGTGATAGCATCATGCGAGTTGATTATAGCACTATTGGCGTTCCATATTGCTCGTGCCCACAACAGTGCTCTGCCAGTTAGCAGGGAAATCAAGAAGGCTACCTTCAATCATTATGTAGAGAATTTCTGAGGCTGCATCTCGATGAACAGTGCCACTTGGAGAAGGAAGCCGCCGCACTCAGCTGCGCCACCAGTATAGCAGGCAGGAATGGCCATGGGACTTACAGAGGCAGATTGTGGGGTAGTGACTGGCGTGAGAGAGGCCCGGATTGTGTTGACCAGTTCCTCCAGTACCTCTGCGGGTGTGGGAACCCGGGGATCCATGGAGGTGTATGTCCAAGGTCCGGTCTTCTGTCACACTACGAGCCAGAGACACAAGGTAAGGATGCAAACAAGAGGGTTTATTGAACAATGCAGAGAGCAAGTAGATGACAGGTGAGTATGAGATGCTAGAGAGTTCTTGGGTTCTTAGCTCTGGGTAGTTCATTGGTATCCTTTGCAGGTACCCGGAGAGGATGAGAACGGGATCGTTGGAGATCAGGATCGATAGAGCTTCTAGGGGTAAGTAAACAACAGATCAGATAAAGGTAGGCGTCAGGCTAAGTTCAAGCTGGTGAAGGATAGACCGGACAGTGAGGCAGTGAGAGGAGTGCAGGAATATAGTGCGCCTAATGAGTCTCTGCAGGTGCAGGTGATCAGTATTCTGGTGATTGCGATCTGGTGTGTCGGGGCTGGTGACTGGGGTTACGTAGGTGACTTTGAAGGCAGAGACTCCATGACAATTATATAGATATGATTGAATTATTATTTAAATATTATTTTAAAATATCAATATGACAGGGTGGACCAGCACATAACGGGGTGGACATAAAGCAGAACACACAAAGCATGAGAAAATATGACAATGAAACATTTATTCAACTTTGAAAAAAATTATATAATAATAATAAATCATATAATTACATTCTCAATCACATTGATATGCCCCCCCACCCTATCAAGTCTAAGTGGCCGATAGGGTGGACATTTTGAGCTTCAATTAGCATATTAGCTTACATATTAGCTTGCCACGTTAAGCTTTGGCAAAGCAAGTAAGCAAACTCATATGAAGGAAATTTGTCAATTGAAAAGTCAACAACTTACTCAACTCAGCCGTTGAAATTCCCGCCACTGAAGAGACAAAACAAATCTGTTGTCCTGATGTCACTAAAGTGGATGACCTTTTCTTAAAGGGGCGGATTCCCCAATACGACAGGGTGGACAACCATTCAAGAGACATGGACAAACTCTTCTTTTTTATTAAATAAAAATGGTGGAATCCATGTGCATGGGTTCTGGTACTGGGGGACTGCTGGTGGCTGCTGCAGGCTGGTGGACGGCTTCGTCAGGCTGGCAGGCTGACAACCTTTGGGAGATGCGTGTGGCTTTTTGCATGAAGCTCTCTAACCCCATAGTATTGTCATAGATGGCCATTAGAGCGCGGATGCGAGAATTCAAACCCTGCCGGTAGGCACTGAGGAGAGCGGTTTCGTTCCAGCCACTAGTCGGCGCTAGCGTCCAAAATTGCAGAGTGTATTTGCTGGTGGTAGAAGAGCCTTGATGCAGCCGCAGAAGTTGGTCAGGGAAAGATAGCATTCCTGTAGCAGAGCCAAACACTTCCTTGAAATGATTAGTGATAGCATCATGCGAGTTGATTATAGCACTATTGGCGTTCCATATTGCTCGTGCCCACAACAGTGCTCTGCCAGTTAGCAGGGAAATCAAGAAGGCTACCTTCAATCATTATGTAGAGAATTTCTGAGGCTGCATCTCGATGAACAGTGCCACTTGGAGAAGGAAGCCGCCGCACTCAGCTGCGCCACCAGCATAGCAAGCAGGAATGGCCATGGGACTTACAGAGGCAGATTGTGGGGTAGTGACTGGCGTGAGAGAGGCCCGGATTGTGTTGACCAGTTCCTCCAGTACCTCTGCGGGTGTGGGAACCCGGGGATCCATGGAGGTGTATGTCCAAGGTCCGGTCTTCTGTCACACTACGAGCCAGAGACACAAGGTAAGGATGCAAACAAGAGGGTTTATTGAACAATGCAGAGAGCAAGTAGATGACAGGTGAGTATGAGATGCTAGAGAGTTCTTGGGTTCTTAGCTCTGGGTAGTTCATTGGTATCCTTTGCAGGTACCCGGAGAGGATGAGAACGGGATCGTTGGAGATCAGGATCGATAGAGCTTCTAAGTAAACAACAGATCAGATAAAGATTGGTATCCTTTGCAGGTACCCGGAGAGGATGAGAACGGGATCGTTGGAGATCAGGATCGATAGAGCTTCTAGGGGTAAGTAAACAACAGATCAGATAAAGGTAGGCGTCAGGCTAAGTTCAAGCTGGTGAAGGATAGACCGGACAGTGAGGCAGTGAGAGGAGTGCAGGAATATAGTGCGCCTAATGAGTCTCTGCAGGTGCAGGTGATCAGTATTCTGGTGATTGCGATCTGGTGTGTCGGGGCTGGTGACTGGGGTTACGTAGGTGACTTTGAAGGCAGAGACTCCATGACAATTATATAGATATGATTGAATTATTATTTAAATATTATTTTAAAATATCAATATGACAGGGTGGACCAGCACATAACGGGGTGGACATAAAGCAGAACACACAAAGCATGAGAAAATATGACAATGAAACATTTATTCAACTTTGAAAAAAATTATATAATAATAATAAATCATATAATTACATTCTCAATCACATTGATATGCCCCCCCACCCTATCAAGTCTAAGTGGCCGATAGGGTGGACATTTTGAGCTTCAATTAGCATATTAGCTTACATATTAGCTTGCCACGTTAAGCTTTGGCAAAGCAAGTAAGCAAACTCATATGAAGGAAATTTGTCAATTGAAAAGTCAACAACTTACTCAACTCAGCCGTTGAAATTCCCGCCACTGAAGAGACAAAACAAATCTGTTGTCCTGATGTCACTAAAGTGGATGACCTTTTCTTAAAGGGGCGGATTCCCCAATACGACAGGGTGGACAACCATTCAAGAGACATGGACAAACTCTTCTTTTTTATTAAATAAAAATTAAATTTTTATTACCAAATGATCAATACACTCAAATTGAGTCATCTCTTATTTAACAAAATATTAATAGGAGAACAAAAGTTTAAAATTTTAGGATTTGACTATATTCTACTCTCATTTAGATTTAATGAGCAGTGCATGAGACATAGCAAAATAGCATCCTCTTACACAAAACTAAACAAAATCTAGAAAATGTATCGAAAGAGCAGTGGCGGCTCGTGGGTTTTAAAATAGAGGAGGCACAGTAATTGTATTGGTCTGGGATCCCTGTCGATTATTGTTATTACAATTTGCTTAATCACTTTAAAATTGCTTTTTGGTTGCTTTTAGTCAGAAAACGTAAAGAAAACGACATACATACAGCAAGATAATATAATTTCACTTACCTGGCCTATCACTTGAAGCAAACATCCATCCCTTCTTAAAAGTCTGTGTTAAAAGAGAGCTGCCTGTTGCGCCATTTAATTAAGCCGACTGCTGTAGCCTATATCCAGCTTAGGCTGTTTTCCCTAAATTCGTGTACTGTTTGAATGACAGTTTGGTAAATCTGTTGGTGATCAAATATTCAATATCGCTACTCATCATAAGTACTTGGTACATTATCAGCGCAGCGGCAGACGTTCAAACTAATATCACATAATTTTACGTCTTTTTGATGATTGGTTGCCAGGGTTCTTTTCGCAACACTCCTCAGTGCTGAAAGTGAACACTCGATGGTGATTGGCACATTTTTTTACCAACGGAGGCACGAGAGCTCGCCTCTCCCCCGGCCTCCCCCTACCCTTCTCTATCATTAGCGGTTGCCCTGCCTTCCCCGACGAGCCGCCACTGCTAAAGAGCCAAGTAATGCTTTTTTATGAATATAAAAACTTAGCCTAATATAACACACCCTTTCTTAGTCATTTGTTATCATGGCAAATTAGTTATTTATGTACAGGACATCAAAAGACACCCTAATGGCTGTGTAAATTATTTTAGAAATGAAAAGCCGCAGCAAAAAGTTTCTCTTTTCTCAGCACCGTTGAAGATTGACCAATCACAATAAGATGAGTAACAAGTTTGACCAATCACAATATTTTGTATAAAAATGGACCAATCAGAGTTTCTGTACGGTACATAAATACTTCGGAGTGAATGTGTGAAAGTGTTTCTGAAGCTCACGGAGCGGATTTTACAGATAAATAAGAGGCCTTTAAAACTGGTCGTGTGGTTTTCATATGCTGAGCCTTCTTTTGTCGTTAATGGGTTTATGTATTGTGCAAATTAGTACGTTACTAATTCATAACATCGTGTTGATTAATTCAGGAGTAAATGACCTCACAAAATGGCGGTATCTAGAAAAATATGCTTGACGTTGCTCCTCATTGGTCACTAACGTCTGGATTTAAGTGCAATTTAAGTCTGAAGTCGACAGTTAATGAATTAAAGTCCAGGTTTAAGTCGTTTTTTTTGTGACGTAGACTTTCATTACTTGAGTTTTCATCTCTATTAATTATGCACTTCACTTCTCTCTGCAGGGGTTGAATGCGCAGACTGTTACAGGTCAGTACTAACATTTACAGTCACAGTATCAAACATCAGAGTCCCACCAGTTAATATGTTTATTTCCTGTTACTGTAATACAATATGTAATGCTGTTTACACTTAATGTCATACATTCTTCAATTAATAATTTCAATACATCATTTCATTACATTCAGACATTTTCTTTTAAGCATGTCAATGAATATTACTTAAATTATAATTTTATTTCTTCATAAATCGAAATGTCCCAGCAGCCCCAGCCACAACAAGCGCTCTTTCAACTGAGTCTCAAACAAGTTTTTTTCATGGACGATTAAGTAAATGTGGTAATACGAAAATTATATTGATAATGTGGTATATTGTAATAATAACTGTGCTTATTTCATGTCAAATTCCAAGTATCAAACATGAGCATCTAGCCCGGTGTTAAATTTACATTTGGGGATAGGAAATAGTAACAATATTGTATTCATACAGATTACAGCAATTTAATGTATTTTAATAATTCTCACAGTGCAAAAATTTGACTGTATGTGAAAAAAATCTAAATCTAAATATCCCAGCAGCTCCAGCCACTACAAGCTCTCCTTCAACTGAGTCTCAAACATCAGCTCCTTCAAGTGAGTATTTTTACAGTGTTTCCCACAGACTTATGCTCTATGTGTGGCGGGGCTTCCCCCCGTGGGATATATATACCAGTTCACATTTACAGCTCTGCGTGTTTGCTGAGTAAAACCATCAGTCGATTCTCCAAGTAGGTATAACTGCGGACCGGAGAACTCCAAAATGGGGCGTGAACTCATAAAGTGGGCAGAACCTTCAAATTGGGTGGGGTCTCCTCGCGCAAAAACTTTCACCATTGGCTGTTGCTTCAGCCAATTGTTATTGACTTACATTTAAAAATAAAATTTATAAGCTAGTTCATCTAAAATAAAATATGCTATATAAATAAATATTCTCCGTGAGAGCAGAGCCCAAAGCTCGTGGCCAGTGGTGCTCTGACTGGAGTTTGAACCTCTGCTTCATGATGTAAAGGGGTAAAATTTGATTGTATGCAAAAAAAATCTACTTTTTTTTCCTTCGTGCATCAAGCTCCTACCACTACAAGCTCTCCTTCAACTGAATCTATACACAATAGAAAAGTAGTAATACAGTGTGACACATCAGATTATGAATGATCAGCATTATTTGTTAACTCTATGTAACGTATGAACAGTGTGAAACATAAAGTAAGATTACTAGAGCCCGACCGATATGAGTTTTTTGGGGGCCGATGCCGATATTAGGGAGTAAAAAAAGACAGATACCGATATATCGGCTGATATTCTTTGTGTAGGCTATATTATAGTACAGTATAGTCAAAAGTTTGGACACACTTCCTATTCGTGTGTCCAAACTTTTGACTGGTACTGTATATAGAATACAGTATATAGCCTACATAAACAGAATATATATACATAAACACATTTTTTGCAATGATAACTCAAATGTGGTGATCAAACACTTATAATGATGTGACAAACATAGGCCTATGTAATGGAGGCAGGGGATTTAACAATTTAACAATAACCTTTATTATTCAAAGTGAATCTGACATCAGTGCACTTAACAGTAAACTTCACTTCACTTATTATAAATAACTTGAATAACACAAATAGAACAAAATATATATAACTTGAATTAAGAAATTAAACAAGGTAACTGTGTAGGGCAAGCAAGCTACTGCCAAACCAACAGGGGCAGGTTTATGCAGGAAGCACAGCTTTTCCAAATGTAAACATCTAAAATGAATAAATAATAATAATGAATAATATGTATTATGTTATGCATTTTCTGGTAATCCAATGAAAATGCAGGACATTCGTATTTAAATTGTCTTTTTTGCAGTTTAATATTCACAGACACAGTCTATATATATATATAGACCTGTTTTTTATTTATTCATCAAAAATAAGACCAATTCCATGAAATTCCGTGTTATACAGTAAATTCCGTTTTTATGACTGGATTCCGCAATTCCGTCCATGTTTTCTGCATCGCGGAAATCATAGGGCCCTACTAATGTAGCAAACGAATATGATAAGCTCATTGTGAGCCTGTTTTTTATTTATTCATCAAAAATAAGACAAATTCCATTAAATTCTGCCTTATACAGTAAATTCCGTTTTTATGACTGGATTCCACGATTCCGTCCATGTTTTCTGCATCGCGGAAATCATAGGGCCCTACTAATGTAGCAAACGAATATGATAAGCTCATTGTGAGAGTAAAAGACGAGGGCATTGATGTTTATTTACTTAGCATTGAGTCTCTCCAAGTAGGTGACAACGTAGCATTAAATCACCATTCAACAGACACAAGCCACCACCACACTGCCGTCTATTGAACTGCAGAAATATACTAACTTTTCAATCTACTATGTTACTGACTGTACTGACAAACTATGCTGACACCGTGTCTGCGCTGCAACAGAACGCGTCAAAGCTACCGTTGAAAATCATTTTAACTTCTGTCAGCACGTCATAAATAGAACGAGGCATCAGTTTACTGCATCCGGTGTAGACAACATAATGGGAAACTGATTCAAAAATATAATGTGGCTCAACCATTTCAGTGCATTTCTAGCACTCTGACGATTTTGATTTGATAGAGGGAAAGAAGGTACAGTTCTAATTTCAACATTATTTATTTTTCAGACATTGTTCTCTAAATAAAATAAGTATCGGCTGTATACAAAGTGGCCAGCATTTGGTTTTTGACCACTGAAAATGGGTAATATTCAACAATCTGGACATGGATCCTCATTGAGGTCCCCATATCTCTGGGAATTAATGATGTAGGGCCTTGAAAATGAAGATTCCAAAAGGAAAGTTTATTAAGAACTAGTATTTAAAATCATATTGTGATATATTTAATACTTCTTGAGTTATAGGTATGCAAACTTTGGAAATAGAATATTTATGGCACTCAGACAGGTATGTTCAATGCAGTTGTTTTGACAGATGGAAACAAGATACATCTTTATTTTCAACATTATTTGTTCTTCAGACATTCCTCTTTAAAAGAAAAGAAGAAAATCATATTTTTGCAAAGTGGCCCACATTTGGTTTTTGATCACTGAAAATGTGTACAATTTAATGATTTACTCCTGGAGCCATATTGAAATTCTAATATCTCTGGAACCGTACAATATACGGCCTTAAAATGAAGATGCCAAAAGGAAAGTTTGTTAAGACCCAATATCTAAAAGGACATTACGATATCTTGAGTATGATGAGTTACAGGCCTGCAAACTTTGGAGAAAAAAATAAAAAGTGCTGTTTCCCCATTTTATTTAGAATACACCATTGGCACATAATGGAACAAAGTTTGCTAAAGTCAACAGACTTTACTAATAGACCTACCAATCTCTGTAAAAATAATGTAATGATGCTGGCATCTTTCAAAATTAATTTTTACCCCCTTGTAATTTGGATCTGAATATCGGGTTTAAATTGCCATTTTGACCGTCCTCTATAAAATAGTGGATTACTCAGTTAATATTCATCCACACATTTAATATTCTGGCTTTCATCCCTAAACATGTTTATCTTTCTTTATTCATTCATCATTCATTTCATTATTTATTTATAAAGCACATTTAAAAACAACCCAAGGTTGACCAAAGTGCTGTACAGATCAGGAAGCTCAAATAAAAAACAGAATCTATAAGACAACATAAATTAAAAAAAAAAAAAATGGATTAATACATTAAATATAAATATTTAATGTAAATATTAATACATTTCTTTAGAAAAAAATATTAGTAAAATCAAAAATTTGAGCCGGGGACCTTTGGTTGAGTTGACACGGAATGGCCCAGGTGTAATTTTATAAATTTTATTGTTAATGTGGTTTATTGTAATAGTAACTGTGCATATTTCATGTCAAATCCCAGGTATTAAACATCAGCAACTACCTGTTAAATGTATGTTGGGAAACAGAAAATAGTAATAAGACAAAATTGTATTAATATTGCAATTTCATGTATTTTAATAATGCTCCCTAAAATTTGACTGTATGAAAAAAAAAACATATATATATATATATATATATATGGGTCAAAGACGAAAAAAGGTTTAAGCATACAAACAATAAGTGTAATACTGCTTTAAATTGTTGTTGTTTCCCCCCCCCCCAAAAATTAAATATTTTCTGTTTAATTTAATTGCAATTAGTTTTTCTGAGCAAAAAATAAATATCATACATTTTTCCCTGATTTACAGAAGAGACCCACTAAAATGTAATTCAGTGTAACAATCTTGTCAGGAATATTTACAACAAAAATCTATTTATGACATATTAAAAGACTAATTACTTTCACCCCAAATACTAATTAGTTGTAATTTTACATTTTTAAAATTTGCCACTATCCTAGGTTTTGCCCATTTGTCAGTAAGAATTTTCACGTCAGAATAAGCATGTTGTTTGAATTTTTACATAAGTATTGTGTTACACTGAATGACAATGGAACATTATTTCAACCAAATTTTGACTTATTTGAAACCTTAAAAGTAGACTTTTTACTTAAATTGGTAACACTTTACAATAAGGTTCATTAGTTAACTACATTAGTTAACATGAACTAATAATGAACTGCACTTATACAGCGTTTATTAATCTTTGTTAATGTTAATTTCAACATTTACTAATACATTATTAAAATCTTGTTAACATTAGTTAATGCACTGTGAACTAACATGAACATCTGTATTTTTATTAACTAACGTTAGCGTAGATTAGTAAATACAGTAACAAATGTATTGCTCATGGTTAGTTCATGTTAGTTAATATATTAACTAATGTTTAACTAATGAACCTTATTGTAAAGTGTTACCCTTAAATTTAATGCGCATTCTATGAACATAATTTTTTTTTTGTAAATGTCTTTTGATGTGGACATCTTAATGTATTTGATCCATATATATATATATATAATTTTTTTTTCTAAATATCCCGGCAGCTCCAGCAACTACAAGCTCCCCTTCAACTGAGTCTCAAACATCAGCTCCTTCAAGTGAGTATTTTTATTCATGGACAACTGAGTAAATGTGTTCATAGAAAAATTATATCTGTATTTTATTCATTTTTATTGTTAATGTGGTATATTGTAATAATAATGTCTTGGTTACGTATGGTAACCCTCGCTCCCTGATGGAGGGAAGATGTTGTTGTCGAATGTACGACACTAGGGGTCACTCTTCGGAGCCCAAACACCTCTGATATCTTTGAGAAAAGGCCAGTGAAATTGGGTGTGCATAATTTGCATAGCTGGCAATACCCCGGACATCTGGGTATAAATAAGCCAGCGTAGCATCTGCTCTCTCATTCTGTTCTGAGGAGTCAAGAAGCAAGAGGAGTCTCAACCCACTAAGAAGCAGTTCGAATTTGTGGCATAGGGGAAACAATGTCACTGTTCCCTCTATCAGGGAACAAGGGTTGCCATACGTAACCGAGACATTCCCTTTCAGTCGTTCACTTCGACGTAGTGTTGAATGTATGACACTAGGGGTCCCTATACTAAACGCCACAACTGCCGAACTGAGTCCACGGGGGCACAGATGTTTACAGGCTCAGTGTGTCACAACCAAATGCACTTCACCTCCTCGTAACCTTCCAACTCCAAAGACTTAAGACCTTGCTCTCCAAAGATCCAGGGGGAGACATCATAAAGGTAGAGATCCCTTCAGCCGGAGCCTTTTAGTTAGTACTTACCATTAAAAGATTGACTGAAAAGGCTTGGTAAAAACCGTCAGGACATTGGCTATTCTCCCATAGGAAAATTATATCTTTATTTTATTCATTTTTTTCATTAATGTGGAATATTGTAATAATAACTGTGCATATTTCATGTCAAATCCCAAATGTCAAACATCATCATCTACCCATTAAAAATGGCCATGGGAAATAGGAAATGGTGGCTACGTTCACACTGTCAGTTTTAGGGATTGACAACTGCATTAACTTACAGCTGTGAGTCACAAAATATCCTGTTCACACAGCATCTTACAGTAGCATTTTGAATACTATCTGGGTGAACGTGCAATGGTAGTCAAGCCCATATTCCTTAACAGTAACCATAGCGACAATGACCAAAGTAATGTCATAGATGGTGACGTCCTTAAAACTGAAAGCTTTATCACTTTCTGACATGACAAGAGTCCAGTCAAGCCGTGAGTTCTTCCGCAGCGCTTAACGCTAAGGATTGTTTTAGGCCAGTGGTTAAAATTTTTACTTGCCCTGCCAAAATTTTCACTAACCCTGCCACAGAAAAAATTAAATAGTTGCTGTTATCATTGTTTTTGATCTATGTTATCCTGTATTCTCATAAAAAAGCTTATATGACACCAATATTTTAGATACCAATTAAATTGTACAATTCTCAATTTCAATTTCGATACCACAGCAAAAACCACTAACCTGAAAAATATAAAGTTCAAACATTATTAAAGACAATTGAACAGCCAGTAAATAACAAATTAACAAATTACAAATAATGGCACAATTAAATATATAGCACAAAGATAGAAATTAAATTCAAATGAAAGGAAAGCGATAAAACGAGCATTTCGGGGCAAAGCAAAAAAAACATTGTCGAACAACAATATAAAGTGTGGGGAATTGGTTATTCTACAATTAATTGTACTATAAATTATACTACTATTGGAAAACAATGAAAATTGATAAACTGTTCGGCGTGATGACGTTTAATGTCTCCGACAGCGACTCTAGTCCCATTTTGCAACTTGTTAGCAACCGTCTTTTTTAAGAAACGTAACAGTGCAGTTTGTGTGCAAGCAAGGAACATTAGATAGTCTGAAATAAAACAAAAAAATGTCCGGTCGATCGGTGCAACTGTACTCCACTGTATAAATTAAATACAGTTTAATCACTGTTAAAGGTAAAAAGTTACTAGTCAAGATGGGTATTTGGACATACTTTTGTATGTATTTGCCCGTTCAGGCGTGGAAAGAAACTCAATTCAGGGCTGTCTGTGTGCACGCTGTCTACATGAAAAAACAATGCGCGAGTACTGAATGTGATTCTTTCGTGCCTGAATGCTTTTAAATTGCTTGAATTTTTTAATTAACAAGGCTTAAAAACATGCAAATGATAAACTTTCATGACGAGGCTGCAGTGGCCTGATTGGGAAAGTGACAAATCCGTCTACTGACCTGAACGTCTTTCACGCTGACCCCGGGCCATCGGGCAGTCCTTATTGTCGAGCCCTGCTCTGTCTAATCTTCATTAACCGACAGCAGTAATATTTGGGTGGGGAGTGGAGCATTTGAGTCACACGCAAAGCAGAAAACTGACGGGAGTGGCTGTAGTGGAGAAAAACTGACTGGATCAAATTGTACAGGTGACACACAGCTCACTTCTCCGTCACTGTAAGTTACTGAAACCACACATGAAAACACGCAACACATGGTCGACGCGCATTTGTGCCGCAGAGCGACTCGCACTGTATGATGTGACAGATAACTAGTTGTCCAGTCCTGTTCCATTCACACAGCATGTTTTCCGAGACTGCGGTTGTGAGTTCTGAAAATTTACGGGTGTAAGTTCACTTACAGAATGTAATAACTGTACTGTGTGTGAACGTAACCTTATTAAGGACTGAAATACAGAACTGACAACCGTACTCTGCTGCTGTGTGAACGTAATGAGACAAAATTTAATTCATACAGTATACAGCAATTTCATGTATCTTAACAAGTCTCGCAAATTTAACTGTAAGCAACTTCTTTTTTTTTCCTTCTAAATATCCCAGCAGCTCCTGCCACGCCAGTGGTTAAAATTTTTACTTGCCCTGCCAAAATTTTCACTAACCCTGCCACAGAAAAAATTAAATAGTTGCTGTTATCATTGTTTTTGATCTATGTTATCCTGTATTCTCATAAAAAAGCTTATATGACACCAATATTTTAGATACCAATTAAATTGTACAATTCTCAATTTCAATTTCGATACCACAGCAAAAACCACTAACCTGAAAAATATAAAGTTCAAACATTATTAAAGACAATTGAACAGCCAGTAAATAACAAATTAACAAATTACAAATAATGGCACAATTAAATATATAGCACAAAGATAGAAATTAAATTCAAATGAAAGGAAAGCGATAAAACGAGTATCTTCCATCCGAAGACTTGTTGCATTTCGGGGCAAAGCAAAAAAAACATTGTCGAACAACAATATAAAGTGTGGGGAATTGGTTATTCTACAATTAATTGTACTATAAATTATACTACTATTGGAAAACAATGAAAATTGATAAACTGTTCGGCGTGATGACGTTTAATGTCTCCGACAGCGACTCTAGTCCCATTTTGCAACTTGTTAGCAACCGTCTTTTTTAAGAAACGTAACAGTGCAGTTTGTGTGCAAGCAAGGAACATTAGATAGTCTGAAATAAAACAAAAAAATGTCCGGTCGATCGGTGCAACTGTACTCCACTGTATAAATTAAATACAGTTTAATCACTGTTAAAGGTAAAAAGTTACTAGTCAAGATGGGTATTTGGACATACTTTTGTATGTATTTGCCCGTTCAGGCGTGGAAAGAAACTCAATTCAGGGCTGTCTGTGTGCACGCTGTCTACATGAAAAAACAATGCGCGAGTACTGAATGTGATTCTTTCGTGCCTGAATGCTTTTAAATTGCTTGAATTTTTTAATTAACAAGGCTTAAAAACATGCAAATGATAAACTTTCATGACGAGGCTGCAGTGGCCTGATTGGGAAAGTGACAAATCCGTCTACTGACCTGAACGTCTTTCACGCTGACCCCGGGCCATCGGGCAGTCCTTATTGTCGAGCCCTGCTCTGTCTAATCTTCATTAACCGACAGCAGTAATATTTGGGTGGGGAGTGGAGCATTTGAGTCACACGCAAAGCAGAAAACTGACGGGAGTGGCTGTAGTGGAGAAAAACTGACTGGATCAAATTGTACAGGTGACACACAGCTCACTTCTCCGTCACTGTAAGTTACTGAAACCACACATGAAAACACGCAACACATGGTCGACGCGCATTTGTGCCGCAGAGCGACTCGCACTGTATGATGTGACAGATAACTAGTTGTCCAGTCCTGTTCCATTCACACAGCATGTTTTCCGAGACTGCGGTTGTGAGTTCTGAAAATTTACGGGTGTAAGTTCACTTACAGAATGTAATAACCGTACTGTGTGTGAACGTAACCTTATTAAGGACTGAAATACAGAACTGACAACCGTACTCTGCTGCTGTGTGAACGTAATGAGACAAAATTTAATTCATACAGTATACAGCAATTTCATGTATCTTAACAAGTCTCGCAAATTTAACTGTAAGCAACTTCTTTTTTTTTCCTTCTAAATATCCCAGCAGCTCCTGCCACTACAAGCTCTTCTTCAACTGAGTCTCAAACATCAGTTCCTACTAGTGAGTATTTTTATTCATGGACAGCTGAGTAAATGTATTAATAGGAAAATTATATTGGTATTTTATTCATTTTATTTTTAATGTCATATTGTAGGGAAGCCACAATTCTAAAAAAAATATTGAACCATTCGGTATGACGGTTCAATATGCACTTGTGAATTATTTTTTTTTTCTCGGTTGCATTTAAATAGCTTCTGTGCGTTTTATCTCTTTTTTCGAAATTGGCTCTGATTGTGCGCCTGTGAGTCTATGAGGTGAGCTTATGTGATGCCTTAAAACGTGCATTTGAAAAAGCAACACATGCCAAATATCTTCCCTTGTAATGACTTGCAAGGAGAAGTGTTTCTAAGCCTGCTGTCCAACAAAAGAGAACATTATAACATGATTTTACTCTGCAACATCAGTCGAATGTTTGAAATAATTTCCTTTTGTCATGTGGCTTCTTATCACAGAATGAGGCAGAAAGTGTATTCTATACTGTAATAAAGGCTATGTTGATTAGCAATGGATTGCAAATATATTATTATGAAAATACCCAAGATGTCTTGAAAACATCAAATGCATTTTTTTTAAGACTTTAATAATAAAATAAACAAACACAAAATGAAAGTAAAGCGGCAGTCCCTCACGGACGACTGCCGCACACAAAACACAAAATAAAATCCAGGCCTGGTCCTCTCTCATCCTTCACTGTTGTCACTCCTCCTTTTATCCTTCCGGAGCTCCTCCATGGGACTGGAGACCGGTTAGTGGCGCAAGTGTCCCTCATTATCTTTCACTCCACCGGCCTCGCTCCGCTCCCACGGCTCTCGGCCCCGCCCCACTCGTCACACTAGTGTTTGATTAAAAGGATACGTGGGCCCGGAGACGTTTTGCTTGACCCCAAAAACGTTTATTAAGTCTGTAAACGCAAGTCCTAACACATCAATTGTATTATTTGGGGACACAGTCTTTATAGATTGGACAACACAAGTACTTCTATCATTTGAGTGGGTAGAACAAAAGCCATCATCAAAGTTATTTGAGAATTGGCTTACTAGTCATATGGAGCGTAGCGTCCTAGAGATGTTGTCCGACAAGAGTTCCGCTCCGACTCTGCTGGGGTGCAGGCCATCAGCACGAAAAAGCCTAGGACATTCCCAGAAAAGATTCCTATTATAAACAAAGCAGTTTCTGTTATTTAAACCATGACAATAACCATTAATTTAACCATTAATTTAGAGCAAAAAGTCTACTGAACCATTTGTGTTCTCCCCGATACGTAGAAAGAATAATCACAATCAAAACGTTGTGATTTAGACAGTTTGATGTTGGGTATTCATACAATTATGGTGAAAATCAAATTCATTTGTGTGTTCAGGAAGTAAAGAAATTATTATATTACTTAACTAACCAAAGGAGCGAACAATCCTGTGACGTCACACGCTGTGGTATTGTAAGATGTCGGCGCCCATGCTCCAAAAGCTATAACAAAACATCCTTTTTTTTATTTAAATTGGTTACATAAATCTTGTTTGTTACATATTTTTTGATTAAAGTGGAAATCAGATTACTAAATAATGTAAACTTGACTGAATGCTTTGTTTAAACATCAGCAGCTACCATTTATGTTGGGAAGTAGAAAATAGTAATAAAACAAAATTGCATTTATACAGCAATTTCATGTATTGTAGCAACAATTCTCGCAGTATAAAATGTGACTGTATGTAAAAACAAATCTACTTTATTTTCTTGGTACATCTAAATATCCCAGCAGCCCCAGCCACTACAAGCTCTCCTTCAACTGAGTCTGAAACATCAACTCCTTCAAGTGAGTATTTTCATGGACAACTGAGTAAAGTTGTTAATTTGAAAATGGTACCTTTATTTCATTCATTTTTTATTGTTAATGTTGTATATTGTTAGAATAATTGTGCTTTTTTCATTCAAATACCGAATATCAAACCTCAGTGTCTACCAGTTAGAATTAATGTTTGGAAATAGGAAATAGTAATAAGACAAAATTGTATTCATACAGTTTACAGCAATTTTGTGTATTTTAATAACAATTCTTGCAATATAAAATGTGATTGTATCCAAAAAAAAAAGAAAATATTTTTTTTCTTTGTACATCAAAATATTCCTGCAGCCTCTGCAACTACAAGCTCTCAAACATCAGCTACTCCAAGTGAGTATTTTTATCCATGAACAATTGTGTAAATACATTAATAGGAATTCGATAATTCAGTTTATCAGCAATGGTATGTTGTACTGATTTCATTTGGATTCAGCTTTGATGCCATTTCAGGTTTACATGGAGCAGAAAACTGCACAGCTGCATCCAGAACCCTGGACTACCTAGAAACATTATATGAACTTTATGAAATTGTATGATTTCTACAGCTGTTTCAGGTGCAAGAATCACTAATCAGTTTCTTCTCTGTTCTTAAACAGGACCAAATGTGATCGAGAATCTTACAGTAACTGAAATCTCCACATCATTTGTGCTTCTGAAATGGGATAAACAACTCGAAATGGGGTCTTCCTTCAAAGTTCAATGGACTGCTGATGAAACATATGGCAATGTAACAGTCACAGTCACAAATGTAACAGTTGCTGGTCTGACTGCTGGAGTCAATTACACATTTTGCATCACAGTCGTTGTAGCAGATACATCAACAGGACCTGTCTGTATCTCAGCATGGACCAGTATGTAGACTTTCAAAACATTTGTCCTTTGCTTATTTACTCCAACTGCTTGACTTCTACCCACAAACAATTATATATTAAAACATCATAGTAATTTATTAACTGAAACAGTATTTTAAAATATTCATACAATGTTTTATCTGTTTAGTGGTTTGCCACTTGAATGAGCAAATTTCTGAGATTTAGAATCGAAGCCATCTGATATTTTCTCTATTAGTTGGACCATGTATACAGTGGTGGCCAAAATCATTAGAACACTAGTATTTTTACCAGCTAAAAATGGTTTTAAGTCAGTTATTTCTATATTTTGCTGTGTGTCAGTAGTATGAAATATCAGTTTACATTTCCAAACAATCATTTTGCCATTAATTGTAATAATCCAGTGAGATTTTTGTCTGACAACAGCCAGTGCTGCACACAGAGATCTGATCTGATCATCATCCAGTCTGTCTGGAATGATATGAAGAAACAGAACAAACTGAGACAGACTCAATCCAGAAGAACTGTGGCAATGTCTCCAAGATGCTTCAAGAGACCTACCTGCAAAGCTACAGTGCTGTTAAAAGTTTTAGGCACTTGTGTAAAAATGCTGTAGAATGAGGATGCTGTCAAAAATAATGTCATAAAGAGATTTTCTTCATCAATTAACTTCTATTAACAAAAATGAATAAACATTTGGTGACCATCCTTTGCGGGGGTTTTTTTTTGCCTTCGGTGCACTTGCACATACTTTTTCAGGTAGCTTTGTAGGTAGGTTTCTTGAAGCATCTTGGAGACGTTGCCACAGTTCTTCTGGATTGAGTCTGTCTCAGTTTGTTCTGTTTCTTCGTGTCTTTCCAGGCAGACTGGATGATGAGATCATCTTAAGGCTAAAAGTAGCTCATAACTCGCTGATTTAGGAGACAATCTTAAAAATAATGGGCGTGTCCGTCCTAAATTTAGGAGTTCTACATTTTTGCTCTAAGAGTATTTCACAAAGCATTTTAGCACTAAAACTAGCTCCTAAATCTGTGAAACGATAGGTAAATGCTATAACTTCTTTATGAATTACTAATTGTATCAATGTTTTAACATGTTTTAACTCTACTTCTTACCAGCACTTATGATTTCTCCTTCTCTCCCCTCACAGAGCCAGATGTAATCAGTAATTTCACTGTGTCTAAAATCACAACATCATCCATGTTTCTGACATGGGCTGAACCATTTGGAAATAGATCTTTCTTTAAACTTAACTGGACTGACGAGAATTTGGACTTGAACAGAAATGCAATAGAAACTAATAACACTTCCTATCACATCACTGGTCTGACTGCTGGAGTCAGTTACACATTCTGCATCACTGCTGTGGCAGCAGATCAATCAACAGAAGGAGAAACTGTCTGCATCTCAAACTATACCAGTATGTAAAACTATAAAATATCTGTTTTGTGCAACATAGTACATTATCAGAATTATGCCTTTCTGCAACACAGAGTATACCAGAGTATGTAGAATTTTTAAATATCTGTTGTTTTCGTTTTCGTACAAATTCCCATCGAAAACTCCTGTTACACAGTAAATTAGAATAATTGCGTGACTATCAATGAAACCTCCATCAAAATAAATAAAACAGATAATGTAATTTTTTTTAGATCTCAGTATTTACTAAAATGCCATCTAGAATCATTAAATGTTCTGATGGAGTTATTATAAACAATATAATCTTCATTCTTAAAAAAAAAAAAATAATAATAATTGATAGCCAAACTCTCTGTACCAGAATAAAGATGGAAAACATTATTAATAAAAAAAATCACATATTATTAAAGGGGTCATATGATGCTGCTAAAAAGAACATTACTTTGTGTATTTGGTGTAATGCAATATGTTTATGTGGTTTAAGGTTCAAAAAACACATTATTTTCCACATACTGTACATTATTGTGTAGTTTTGCTTTCACAATGAAACGCACGGTGGGCTAGAGTGAGCGGTGATTCGATGAAGGCGCGTCCGGTGGGCTTGCGGCAACCACATGTGACGACCCCCGGCTGTTCTGCTTCTTCCACGGTGTTAAAAATAATCTGTCCAGAGAGGATTAGTTTCATTACTGTATTAAAATGATGACTGCAATTTTTCACAGTATAGAAATGAGAATTGAGCAGGCAGATTTGATTAATTTTCCTGAAAACAATGTCATAGAGCAAGGACAGTCTATTGTTATTAATAGTGATGCCGTTTCTGTGAAAGATTTGCACCTTGTATAATTTAGTACAGGTTCTGGCCAGCATACTTTTTAATCTCCTCTTTTACCACCTTTTTCATTGACTTCTCTCTTCTCTACACAGGACCTAATGTGGTCAGATGCATAGTTAGTAAGCATGCTGACATCATCCATAGCAACGAGGTC